ACTGCTCCAAGAAACATGAGAAGTATTCGATAATAATTGTAAATAAGTAAAATTAAAATTTTTTGAAGGCAGATTTGAGCTCATCATGATGTAGGTAATCCCAATCATCAGTACCAATAAATTTTTCTCTTACATCTTCATTCCAAATTTTGTTATTCTTTGTATTGTCAAGTTCCGATTCACATTTAGATAGAATATAATTTTCAAGCATTACTCGTGATGAAAAATCGTTAATTATCTTATCATTTAAGTAAATTTCATTTCTTTCTTCGGTTGTAAATATTGTATCTTGCATAATTTCATCAATTGGTCCTGTGTCAAATATTCTTCCTTGAGAAATTCTGGAAAGATCGTGTTGAAGACTGTTCAGTTCATCATTTATGTTTCTATTGATCGTAACCTCATGAATTTCTGAAATATCTTCCAAAAAAGAGGACTCCATGATGGAAGCCCTTGGTATTGTATCATTCCTTCGTAAAACAGGAGCAGAAGAATTTGCAATGGAAATTGGGGAAATAAGTGGTGCATCTAGTAAACTCATTTTTGTTAAAAGAACAAAACAAAACCAATTCCTAAATTAAAAAAAAGAATGTCTTTGGATTTTACAAACACTGGAGAAGTGATTTCGGTTGTTCCCTGCTCGAAATATGACGCTAGTATTCTATTTGTCCAATATGAAAAAATCTCCTTGGTTTTGAAATGTTGCAAATATGACTTGGCTGAGCAGGTGTTTGGAACCTGTTTTGCTTCGTTTTTTGGGCTGTATTCTCCTCAAATGTTTGTTTTGTTTCAATGTAATGATCCTCGATTCTCTGTTGATATTTGGATTCAAAAAATTCACGACTGGGGAGTTCGTGTTGAAAAACAGGAAATAGTTTTAAAAATTGAATCAGAATTCAGTCATATGAAGTCAATATTAGTGATGGAATCCGTGCCCAACCTCGTTAGCTTACAAAAACTTCGAGATTTCGAAAAAGAACAAGTTTGGATTGATTTTGGAAAGCTGTTATTTGTTGACATTTTGCTCAATAACTCAGACAGAACCCCCTGCTCATATTTTTGGGACAATGAGGGAAATGAATCCAACATTCTTCTCAATCAACGTTCTCTGGTAGCTTTAGATCAAACATACACACCCATAACTTTGAAAGAAAAACGTGAATCATATTTAGACAAATGTCATGAGTTTTTCTCGATACTTCTTTCAGGAAATATAAAACCTTACCTCCTAGATTTGGCCAATTTAGTTGCTAAACAATCTGGATACAATATTACAAATGAAAACTATGACCTAATTTGTTCTGGATTGCTTCAATGTTTTTCAAGGGTTGTAGAGAATGAAAGAGACACAATTACCATTGAGAACCTCCTCAAATGTGGAATGAAGTGTTGTTGTAAAGAGCAAATTGACTTTGTTGCTAACAACCTTAGAGACAAGGACCTTTGGTTATCTGTGGTGGAAGCAGCCCACAACATTTTTAATACTCAAAAAAAATGGGGAAACACGCACAACTAGTGATTGGACCTGCTGGTTCCGGAAAATCGACTTATTGCCAAATTCAAGAACATGGTAACAATACAAAGAGAATTATTCATGTTGTAAATTTAGATCCTGCGGCTGAGGAGTTTAAATATCAATGTGCATTTGATATTCGTGACTTGGTAACATTGGAGGATGTCATGGAGGAGTTTCAACTTGGTCCTAACGGAGGTCTAGTTTACTGTATGGAATATTTAATGCAGAATTTAGAAGATTGGTTCTCGGAAGAATTGAGTGATTATGAGAATGACTATTTAATCTTTGATTGTCCAGGTCAAATTGAACTTTACAGTCATGTACCAATCATGCAGTTATTTGTAAAGGAGTTGGAACGAAGAGGATATAGGGTTTGTTGTGTCTATTGTATGGACGTACAATTTATAGAAGATGTTACAAAATATATCAGTGGTATTACCCAGGCCCTTTCTGCAATGATTCAATTCGAGACTCCTCATGTCAATATTTTCACAAAATGTGATACTCTAAAAGGAAATAAGGAAAGATCAAACATTTTAGAAAAGCTAAAAGTTCCTGACAAAACTGAGCTTCTCTACGCTTTAGAGAAAGAAACCAATCCCCACAAGAGAAATTCATCTTTCTCCAAACTCAATCATGCAATTGTTTCATTAATTGACAACTTCAACATGGTTGGATTTCTTGAATTGGATATTACTGATGAAGAATCGATAGAATACATCCTCTCCTATGTTGATATGACTATTCAGTATGGTGAAGATGAAGAGGCAAAGGAACCAAAAGAAGAAACAGAAGAAAGCACTCAAGATGAATAAATTAATTCATCAGGTTAACTTTTTACTACGCTCTTTTTACTACATTGTGACCACCTGATGGATTTGACAAGGCTTT